GTTTTAATTTTCTCCTGACCTTATCTGTGGTGGGATTTCAAAATAAATTGCACATGAACTATACCACATTTTCTCCTCTACACGACGGCACAATTAGAATTTCAATATGACGTTCATATAGACGCCATATTGGATTCTTACACACATGAATAGAATTTTCATTCTGATTTAAAAAATGTATGTTTGGAAGACTGTGAATACATCTGCTTATTTATGGTTATTATTGTTATTACATCAATAAAATTTTCATTTCGTATTCAAGTTTCACCATATCTTTTTATTTCCTTTTAATTTTCATCCAACAACAAATTTATGGTCAACTAACTGAGTGTTAGCTGATAATTTCAAGGCCTACCCAAGAAATTCTGTTTTTCTTGAAGTAATCAAGGTTTGACGACATCAATGTATTATGCATTTTTTGAATCAAAATGAAAAACTCTATTCGTCTGTGCAAAAATGCAATATAGCGTCCTTAAGAAATAATAAAGTTGATGCTGGAGGAGAAGAGACGAACCGGCATATAGAAATTCTGATTATGCCTTCTTGTAGAGAAGAAAACGTGGCATTGTTAATGTGCAATTTATTTGAAAATCCCAATATAAACAAAGTCAGGAAATAAATCAGAACAATTTTAGGGAAATTCAGTTTTTCCGTTACTCTACGGAAGTACTTTGATTTTCGAAACCTTCTAAGTGTCACTCTGTTGACTACCCCATTTAAGCGACTTCGTATCCCTTACAGTTTCCAAGATCCCAATGGTGAGTGCCAAATTAGAAACACCCTGTATATGCAGACTCTTACTAGAAGAAAAAAGTGACAATTCTACAAGGATTTAATAACGTCTTTGACTAACAAAAGGTGTTATATACTACGAAGCTAAAACCGCTGAACATAACTACAATTATCAAGATCTGCTTACATAGCTGTGAGTTTCACAGAGTTCTCAACATGGTCAAAAAGAACTTAAACTACGAAAATACATAGAAGTAAGACTTAAATCACGTAATTACGCATTTTGCAACTGTAACAAAAAATTTCAAAATATTAGTGATCACAAAAGTATTAATTACGGTTCTTGAAAGTTATGTCCTCAATTGTTCGGGTTTTTCATACTGTATTCATAGTCTTCATTTTGCCATTACCGGGTCAATAAACAAAATATTGAGCACAAAGCACTTTAGCGCTGGCTGAATTGTGGCACTGTCTTCTCTACAAAATTAAGGTTTTTGGGTTTTATTTTTTTTACACCGAAGCAGCCGCGCAGGTGAACCCTACATGCCAAGGCACAGAAACTTTGTTATTCCCATTTTTAAACTGACTAAAGTTAGTAGAACTGGGAAAATCCTCGCCCTCGGAACAAAGGAGTGGACTTATCGGCCAGTTCTGGATGTACGCAGTTCGACACGCTTACGAAAGGAGGACGAAGTCAGTAAGGCACATCGCGGGGCGACACCATGGAAGAAAGCTCTGAAGAGCAAAGCCCGTTGGCGTAGCTAGATCGATTAGAGAAAAGTTCCCTAAATGCCTCTTACGAAGCAATTTTAGTCCTCAAGATAGTTCTGCCACACTCTGATACCTGTCACTGTCACTGGTTGACTGGTGACCTCTGATCTGTCAGAAAGTTCTGTACGAACACCGGATTAGCTGTCGGCAAACAGTCAGAAACTGTACGAACAGGTAACATCTCTCTGATTCTGATTTTGACAGTCACCGAAAAGTTACTGACTACTGTACGAACAAACCAATTGTCACTTTTTCTTCTCTACAAGATGGCGTAGTCATAGTTTCAATTCGAGCTTGTGCTTTCGGCTTCCATCACCAATGTTGTTTTCCCGTATCGAGGCTATAAAGAATTATGTACATTTTAATACTACTGAGAATAATACTACTTCAATTAAATATGTGGATTTTATTTCGACACAAATAAATGTATTATATTCATAGTTAAATGCAGAATAAAAAATTGTTTTCCATTGTGTGAAATTTTAATGAGTCCATAGGCAAAGACAAAGTTGATGATGGAGATCAGAAGCAGAAACGTCCCACTAAGAATTTGACTACGCCTTCTTGTAGACGAGTCGTAGTGGCAATGCTAATATGCAATTTATTTTAGAAACCTCATTCTAAATAAAATCAGGAAATGAACAAAGACTTTCGAGTAAATTCAGTATACGAAACAATTGACTACCTGATAATAATTTGAAACGCCTATCTCGGAATTTTTTTTAATCGCTAGGATTTGGTAATGTCCATTTCTGGCATATTATATATTTTTGGAATCAGAATTAAAAGCTCTGTTTATCTGTGCAAAAATCCAATATGACGTCTGTAAGAAAAAATAAAGTTGATGCGAAAGGACAAGAGACGGAACATCGTAATGCAATTTTAATTGTGCTATCTTGTAAAGGAGAAAAAGTGGCAATGTTAATCTGCAATTTATTTTGGGAAAATTCGTGTTTTCCGTGTTTCTGCGGAAATACTTTTAATTCTAAGACTTTCTAAGCAGCATTTTGTTAGTTACCTAAATACGCCACTTCGTATCTCTTACCGTCTCCTTTTCGAACCAGTTAGTAGGGATTGTTTTCTTCAGATGGCGCTCAAAGTAGTATATAGAGACATATACAGGGGAAATCAAATTTGTCTGATAGCTTAACTCACTGTGTATGTATATGTTACCCCAGAGAATGTTCGCACAGACAGACAGACAGAATTGGTAAGGTTACTATCAAACACAAGAAGGTCTGTTCGAACATTTATATTAATACTTTGTTTTCATTTTGATTATAATTATTTATTACAATTTTTATGCGACTCAGTCTTTTAATTTATTTTAGAATTATCTTTGAGATTTACCGATGTTGATAAAATCTACACATCCTGAGTTATTGTTACATTTTGTGACGATCCTGGCCTTTCATTTCGACCTAAAATGGAGCGCCGTAAGGACCGATTCGGAATCGATCCTAAACAGATTCCACACAATTCACAATTCAAAAATGAGTACGCTCAAAATAAAACCATTATTTAAGCCTAGAGAACCAGCGAACGCATATTTTCAACATGCATCTTACTTCAAGGAACTGGTGTAACATATTGGCAATGCGGCTTTGCTATCCGGTCGGCTTCTATTTCTTTCTAACATGTGTGTCTATACAGTCTATACACACTTCTCTCTCTTGTACTCATTGAACTCAAGCCGTTAGACAAATTTGATTCTCAGTGTGTACTACCACATACTACATACACCCCTCTGGTTTACACCCGAGATCCAGAATGATTGCACGACTATGCCCAGTAAGAAATTGATCCACGGTTTTTAACCAAATTCTAATTAGCTGAAGATCTCCGAATTCGCCGCCTCGATGCTCGTTTCCTTTTAAACTTCTAATTATGTCGGCTACCGCTGCCCCGAAGGTTTGCCAGGCCAGTGTTCCGCTAGAAAATGCTGACGGTTACCAGAGGAAAAATTGATCTTTTCTCGTTAGGTGAAAATACACAGGAGTGCGGGAGATTCAACGCTTTATTCAGCGCCCAGCGCAGTCTGTTTTAAACAGGTTGCTAAGGATCCATGTGATTTTGAATCGATCTAGGTCTACTTAGCTTCTAGCGGTTCACTGATTCATTACAGCACTGATAAAGTACTCTACCTAAATATTGTCATCCGTATACTGTATTTCGATGTACAAAAAGGAATCTTAAAGATTCTAGCGTCATCTATGAGAAAGTTGCAAAACTACTACTTGAAAAGAGTCAGAGCGTTTGGTTCCGCTGCTGTCTCTTAGATGGCGCTAGGAACTTTCAGATTCCTTTCTGAACGTGATCATTGATTAAAACTAAGATGGTCATCTTACTTCCTACGCCACTGGGCGAGGAAGTATTGTAATCGCTGAAAATTTCAAAAATGAGATACTCTCCCTTTTAATTCGTCGGTCTGTCTGTCCGCTAATCCTTGAGCCCTCTATAACTTGGAAAGTACCGGTCGGATTTTGATGAAATTTTTACACAAGGTTATTACTATGCCAAGAACGAAAGAAACTATATAGTTTTTAATCAAGAGGTGGCGGAGCTAGGGGCAAAAAATTAAAATAATAAAATTTAGTTTAATGGATGTAAAATTGGGGGTGGAGGAGGGTAAATCTTAATTTTTTGAAAGTGGTATACTTATACACCTCCTGCCGGGGTAATTCTTCGCACCCTCTAGACATATTTCTCATTATAGATTCCCTGAACATTTATCATTAAAACTAGATTGGTCGAGAGAGTCGCTAGTCGATAATATGCTTCGCGGTCCTGCCGATCCATGGGTGTAGCAGGTTGTGATCCACACCTGATGTACACATAGTTTCAATCATTTGTGCCTGCAAGGATTTTTCTCATGGGACGGACTTTTGTGTGAAAGCGTGACCGCAAAACTTTTTGAGCAGCGAGGAGAACCAAATCCTACAGAGCTCCAAAATTGTACAAAAAATATGGTAAATATGCAAATTTTAGTTGTATGAGTTTGTTTTACTAACTTGATCTAATAATTTTTTTGTTATACGTGTAGGACGTGCAGAGTCAACCTACTTTTCTTATGTAAGAATCGTTTTGTAATGGAGTCAGGGAATCTTTATTCATGAACGTAAATTGTATCAAAATATGAAAATTTTTTCACTTGTGAACATAGTCCCCATAAATATACGAACATTTGTCAAGTCATGGCACCAGCTTTTGGATCCCGTCGTCAAAGAACGCTGCCGCTGACCATTACACCAGTTAGTAACTATTTCTTTCAACATGTCATGATTTCCTATGTGATTTCGACAAAGAAATGCCTCAAGTTTGGCACAAGAATGTTTGAGGCTGCTAAGTCATGGTTGTATGAGGGATGAGTGGTTCTTACTATAAAAATGGTCCTCATACTGTCTACCCTGAATTTGAAAGTTGAGAAGTGTAAAAATTAGCAAATTATTTTTTACAACGGCCAAAGAAGTCTCAACTTTCGCTGGATAGTTTTTAACCTTCGAAGAGCGTCAAGAAAAAAACCGCCGTATCGTTTCTTCGAGGATCTATTGGAAATGCTGTTAGCTCCCATGGTCAATGAACTCTGTACGGTTTTTCCGTCTGCGAGGCTAAAATTGCACTTCACTTGTGCAACTACAAAATATTCTAAGAAATAAATGTCACAAGTGATATGAAAACATCACCTAATGTACTCTCTACCTTCTATTCAACTTGTATTCCCAAAGCTTTCTAATTAGTTCAAGATGCTTTTTATTCAATGCAGAAAAAACTCGCAGCTCGTAGCTCAATGTTTATCAAGGAGCATGTGCCGATTTTATGTCAATGCTCTCTGAGAAAATACAACTAGTCAATTATTCAGATTGCTTCATAGTTTGGTGCAGTATGCATATTAACATGGCAGTGTGGGGATATTCAATTTGTATATGTATACCTGTATTGTTCATAAAATTAAATAAAATAATGATGGAATTGATGAAAATGTAATGTATAACATTTACCATTAGGTATCTCCCCAGAATTGTCTCATCAGCTTAAAACCGAAAACTGGCGTCAAGTAGGTTGACTCTACACTTCCACGCAACGCCGTCATCAGTTCATGAAGGATTGTGTTCAACGCAAGTTAGGCCCTATAGAAATAAGTCATGGATTTTATATCCTGGATAGTGGATAGTTGCTATGTTTTCCTTCGGTATCCCAAAAAGCAAGAAACAGCTATCTGCGGTTGGCTGTGTTTGGTTGAACGGACGAAAACATCATGTTTATGTTAGACTCTCTTAGGAAAGGTTAGTTACTAATATAATATATATATATATATATACACAGGGTGGCGCATCGAAAACGAAACAGACTCATTTACTGGCAGCTCATTGTTTTTACGCTCACACCCGTCGATTTTGTTTTCGATGGGGACACAAGTTTGGCCAAAAATCACGTTAGCACGTGCAGCCCCCTAAGCGGGGGTGACACCACCCCCAAAATCTTAAATGGAAAGGGGGGTCGAGTGATACCTTATTTTAAAGGTCTTTCAATTCCCTATATAATGATATAAAATTAATCTACTTCAGTTCAGTAGTTGTGAAGATTTATTGATTTAAAGCTTAAATAAAACTAATAATCATCATTAGTGGACGTCAATACATTTGGCAGCAAAGTAATTTAAAAATGAAAAATGAACTGACCCGTTAGGCAACTAAATGTTGAAAATGGCCACCATGACTCTCCATGCAATAATAAAGATTTTGCTCAAAACTTTGCCGCACATTTTGCAATATTTGAGGAGTAATTTGAAGGCACTCATTCACAATTCTTTGTCGCAGGTCTTCTAATGATGTTGGCTGAGTAGCATAGATTTTGCTTTTTAAATGACCCCACATAAAGAAATCCAAAGGTTATAAATCTGGCGATCTTGGAGGCCACTCAATGGCACCTCTTCTACCAATCCATCGATCTGGAAACGTCTGATCTAAATATTGTCCAACACGTGATGCGTAATATGGTGGGGCACCATCCTGTTGGAACATCAACCTATTCGCAATGTACCGCCGATCATTTTGATTTTCAATGATGGCTGTTAATGCAGGATCTATGGCGTCTTACAGTAATTCCAGATACATTTCACGGGTCAAATTCCCAGGTAAGAAAAAAGGGCCAACCAAATGATCGCCAAAAATACCAGCCACAACATTTAAATTTTGTGGCTGCTGTGTATGAACCTCATGATAAATTCTGGGATTAGAATGCCATTTAAGAAAAAGGAACATTCGTCGGAAAAGCAAGTGTTGAATAGAAAATGTTCATCGTTTATAATTCGTTCACTCATATCTTCACAAAATTGTAATCGCCGATCAAAATCGTCTTCATTAAGTTCTTGTACCAGGTGAATTTTATATGAATGAAAACTATGGGGAATCCGTTGGACAGTACGTCGACTCACACCACACACAGTCTCCAATTAGCGGGTACTTCACGTAGGATCTACTTAAACTTGCCCTAAAACCCCCACTTCTATTGCTTCGTTCCTTATGGGATTTTAAATGTTGCGTTTTTTATTGGCGACTGACCCAGTTTCCCGAAATTTAGCTACAAGTTCTAGAACATATTTTCGATGCACGTCACTGTTCTCATGTCGGTCATTAAATATTTCTGCTGTTCTATTAGCGTACTGATTATTTCTGAAAAATATTTCGATAATTCCAACTCTTTCTGCTGTTGAATATACCATGGTTAATTTATGTAATAAAGCGTTACAAGTTATTTTAGCAACAGAGCTTGGTCAATTCAATCGCAAACTATGTACTAAATTCCAATTAAAAATAAGTATGAGATATTTCCTTACCTTTCTTCAAGAAATAACTTTTTTTCCACAAAAAAACGCTCCAATAGCTATTTTCAACAACAAAATGATAAACAAACCATGGGCGTAGTGAATAAAAGCATATACTTATTAAGTAAATTCTTTTAGTCAAATTTCTTCTGAAAGTAGTACAAACTAATCTGATGTACCTATTAAAGTCTACTGTACGCTTTAAATCAATAAATTTTCAAAACTACTGAAATGAAGTACATTAATTTTATATCATTATAAAGGGAATTGAAAGACCTTTAAAATAAGGTATCACTCGACCCCCCTTTCCATTTAAGATTTTAGGGTTGGTGTTAACACCCCCGCCCAGAGGGCTGCACGTGTTATCGTGATTTTTTGCCATACTTGTGTCCCACTCGAAAACAGAATTGACGGGTCTGAGCGTTTTTCAAGAAAAAAAATTAGCTGCCAGTAAATGCGTCTGTTTTGTTTTCGATGCGCCACTCTGTATATAACATGTAAATTAAACAAATCAAGTGCGCCAAACAGGTCCGTACAATTAGTCCCTAACATCCTCTCCCTACCCTAGCCGTAGTACAATTCACCTGGCAACGTTACGTCACCTCTCTCCAATATCTGAAAGCCTAATGCGTCATACGCTGCAGAGCGCCCACACAGCACCAGTCATGCGGCACACGTAGGTACACCGACACGTCCTCCGCAGCCCTTGAAGTCAGCAGGGCAGGGAACCTTATCGAAAATATTTTTCTATCGTTCTAAGTTTTAAGAACAAATGTGCGGGGCAGAATTATCGGGATTGGAGGTGTATTAATATACTTACATCAAAAAATTGCGATTCACCCTCCCGCACCCCTTAAAGACCCCCACCAAACAATTTTTTACCCATAAAATTTTTTCAAAAAGATCGTCTGAAACGTCAAAAAACGAAGTTTTGAGCGGTTTTTATTTTTTCGTCTACGGTCTGTTTCTCTACTGGACCGACTTTCTAACACTACAAAGCTTTTGCATTCTTAGAGTAGTAGTTACCTTGTATGAGAATTCCATCCTGAGCCGACTAGTACTGTCCAAGTTATAGACAGGCCCGACTGAAATGAGTGACATGGTGTTTATATTTATATTATGACATCGATAAAGTGCTGTAGTCTAATCGTCCGTGCCATGCTTTTCTTTAATGATGACCAAAATCACCGACTCTGCACCGACCAACCATCTTAGCTTTCCAAATTACGAGGTGAACTCCAACCTGAGGAAGAACCGGGGAGTTGTAGCTTTACTGATCCATAGGCGGGGTATTCGGGCGAAAGACCTGCATGTTATCACTTTACCTTTATTGAGCACTTAGAAATAGAATAGTACATGTGGTGAAAAAATAAAATGAAATAAATAAGCTATAAAATATAAGTAAAATGTATAAAAGTACAAGTAAAATCAATATAAATATAACAATTCTTATAAATGTTCTTTAAGCTCGCAAGGGTGTACATTCCATATATTGACTTATAAAATGCATTTGATGCTAATAGTTTTTCAAGTTGGTTTTTAAATCGAAAATGATTACTGGTTTGCTGTATTTTAGCTGGTAATTTATTGTATAATTTCATGCAGTCATAGTAGGGTGATTTTTTGAAATGTGTCGTGGTATGTGTATGGATGATCTGTAAATTTTGATTTCTAGTATTATAATTATGATGAGCATTAATATTTGGGAACAGGTTATTAAACTTCTTAACGTAAGTTACACATTTCAAAATGTAAATACAGTGTAATGTAAGAATTTCTAGTGATTTAACAAGTTCTCTGCAGGAGTCAAGTGGCTTCATTCTGAAAATTAATCTGATGATGCTTTTTTGGGCAACAAATACCCTCTCAATTTCGGTTGATTCCACCCCTATCATAATGTTATAAGACATATGGCTATAAGCCAGCACATAATATAAATTGATAAAAGCTTTTTCATTCAGGACATCTTTAAGGTGTAAAAAGGCAAAATATGTTTTACTTCAATTTTTACATACGTGATCTATATGTTTATGAAACTTTAGTTTACAATCGAAATATATACCAAGTAGTTTACAAGAATCCGATAAAATAAGACCCTACATATTTAAGTCTAAGTCAACTGTACGTTGGATCTTAAAATTGATAACAACAGTTTTATTGCAATCTAAGATTAACCGATTTCTTAGACAGCAAGCAGATAATTCATCCAATACACTTAGAATTTGGGAGTAAAAGTAATTGATATTTTCTGTAGATATAGTTATAAATGTATCATCTGCAAACATGGTTATATATCGCTTTGAGATATGGCTGGGCAAACCACTGACGTATAAATTTAACAGCAGTGGTCCCAGTATAGATCCCACGTCCAACAGGATATATATGAGATGTTGTGATTCCATCTTTAACTTTCAGATTTTTTGTCCTGCATGTAAGATATAACCCAGTTCAAGAATAAGCCTCTAATACCCACAGTATATGATATTTGCTTAAGTATGTTGCTGTCTATTGTGTCGAATGCCTTAGACCAAAAAGTAAAGATGCTACATATTCACCTTCGTCAAGTCTGCTATAAACATATTCAAGCAAACGACAGCTTGCAGTTTCGATGGATTTCTCAGTTCTAAAGAAATGTTGGCATACATTCAGGATATGAGATTGTTCAGCAAAATCGTATAATGTGTGATACATGGCTTTTTCTAGCAGTTTAGATATATTGCTCAATCATGAAATTTGACGAGAGTTCTCAACGTTATCATGTTCACCTTTTTAAATGTAGGTCTGATCACCGCAAGTTTTAAGATTTTAGGAAAACAACCACTCTCAACAGATTTATTAAATAAAATGCCAAAGTATCACCAATACAACTAAGAATTTGTTTTAAAAGATGTAAAGTAATATTATCAAAACCACTAGACGTTTTGTTTCTAATTTTATTTAAAACATTTTGTAGTTCGTTTAAGGTGGTAGGTTCAATAAAAATAGAATTTTGTCTGTAAGATAAAATGGTACAGGGAAGTAATAAGTTCTGACCAAAGTGTGACTCCATTTTCTGAGAGCCACAGGTAGAGAAGTTCTTATTAGATTTTTCTGTGAGTCTTTCATTTCATTCTACATATGTCCTTGTTTTTTTTTAGAGGATGATCTGCCAAGTTTTATATTGATTATTTTCCACGACTCCTTTACTGTATTGTCTGCATTACAAATGTTTTCCGAGTAATAATGTCTTTTTGTGTTTTGAATATTTCTGCGGTAATTTCTTTTTTCTTCTAAATAAAGCTCTTTTATCTCTGACGTTCCAATATCGATCATGAATTGATACAAATTTCTTATATGCTTTCCTTGAGATTATAGTTTCATTGACCCAACCTTTGCCCTTTTGCTCTTTTAATATCACTCTTGTAATATATCTCTTAGGGCAAGCTAAATCCAAATATCACTGTAATCATTCAACAACTACTTTTTCTTTTTCCTCATTTCTCATTATTTTTTCATTATTTACAGCAGTTGCGCAAAATGTAGGATAAAACTGCATTGCAAATTTTGCACATAGTTGAAACAACTGGTAAATTTGTAATAATGTAATCGATAGCACTGCGATAAGTGATACCTAATATATTGGTAAATACTCTTGTATATTCAGTGGTAGCGCAAGAACGAAAATTAAAAGTCTTAAGATATCTACGAGTAATCTATTAGAAAAGTGGTCTTTCTTTGCTGGAATCTACATTGAGATCACCACATATAACTATATAGTCTGCATCTTTGACGACTGAAGAAATTGCTGAAGAAATTGAAGCGGCATAGATGTCAACGTCACCATTAGGTTTATAAGCAGCTATAAGGGAGACATTTTTAAGTCTCTAATTTTCTTTAAACTCAATATAATTTTTCATCTGTATCATTGTACCACCACTTATGAAGTTTTGGCGGAAGAATTGTGCAGCTAGGCTATAATTTTCAGAGTGTAAATTATCTAATTGCCGAAAAAGTGGTCTTCGGTCATTCCGAGTATATCTAAATTTGATTTGTGCAACAGTAATTCAATTTGGCTGATCTTATTACCCAAACCTAGTACCTTTACATTGCAAATTTTGAACATTGTATTTTTGTCATGATCATCTAAGATATAATTTTTTACTAGGGTACCTTGGGCCCATAAAGATGGATCTTGTAGCTTATCTTTTATGTCAAAATCGGCACCAATTTTAAATGATTCTCGGTTGGATTTCTTCCATTTTGGAAGCTTTTCCACAATGAATTCTCTATTTGAAATTTTTTTACAGAATAATGTTTGTATATTAGCTTCCGTAGTTCCAGGAGATGTTCTGCCCACGTAAATCCATATTCTTCGTGGTACGGCGGTAAGATCGGCCTCCGTAGAGGAACCCGTACCAATCACAATCTTCGATTTCTTAGGGTGACCCGGAATGAGTTTTCCTTCACTTGTTATGTGGGCAGTAGAGAGACTATTTGTATCTTGTCTTGAAGTTTTAGCAATTTGATCACAGTTATCATTATTGGAGCGAATTTGTAGCAGAATTATTGATGGCAACTATTTTCGCCCACGTTTTAGGTCCTTGTCTACTTGGCTCAGGATGATTATCATTGCGAAGTTCATGCTGGCAGTTGCTAACATTATCCAATTTTTCTATTAGTTTCCCGTGGTATAACAACTTCTTGACGAAGCTCCTTCATCTGGTTGGAGGCGTAACAATTTTGTAGAGTTCAATGCTTCCAGAACACACCACTGTACCTTGACTAACACGAAGCCTCCTAGTGCATATCCGGTTTCGATGGATGGCGGAGTTCTAACAAAGAACCGTTGGTTTCGGTTGGTCGGAGACCAGGTCGCAGAGGATTTGTTGTGGTATGAACACATCTTGTCAATATCGGCAGATGCTGGAAAAAAGCTAGGCTATTTGTTTAGGGCTAAGAAGTAATTTTCTCCACATGACCTCCTCACTCTATATAAAGCCCAAATAAGACCTAGCCTCGAGTGCTCCTCACATATTTGCGGTACTGTCGCCCCGCTCGATGCTGTTTGACTGATCGATGACTCTTTACTGATGAACAGTCTCGGGACCCTTCATCACCAGCGGCCCGTCAACGATCTATCTCTATTCTGCCGCTACGCCAATGAGCTCTCCTCCATGGTATTTCCGCGCGATGTGCCTGCCAGACAGACCCGTCTGACTTCGGCCTCCCATCCTAACCGTGTCGATCAACCAGAGCTAGCCGATATGACCGCTCCTTTATCCCGTGGCGTCCACATGTAGAATTCCGGGCCAATGGTTTGGAAAGCATGGAGAGCCTATTCTAATGTGGATTGTTTATCGCCAGATCAACAGTTTCGCACTTACTTCATACTGTTTTCAGTTTGTATTGCGTCTTACTCCTAGGCACCGAAGTGGCCGACACGGAAACAACTGAACTGGGACCTCAAATTGTCTTTAGAGATGAATTCTGGTTCTGTTTGGGGATGCATGATGGCCGTGCAAAGCTATGAAGGCTACGAGGTGAAGGATGAGATTTTCAAATTTCTATGGAAACCCACCACACTGTTGGAGTTATCGGGCTACCATGACCGCCGTGCGTTAAATTCAGGTGAGGGAACCAAATGTTGTCTCCTCTATATGGACATTCACCAACCCACCTTTTCAACAAGTTGATGCGCGAACAGATATAGCCAGGATTACGTTGGTGCTTCTAGACTATTTGATTGACAGTACGTGATGCTTGATGGAGTTTACAATTTAGTAATGTGGTTTATCTATGACACCTTCAGCTGTTAAGGCCAATCGGATTCACATCTGCCGGAAACACCTTTCCCAAAGGCCAAAACGTAATTAGAATAAATGTACAAGTTTCAAAAGAGCTGCTACAGACAATCTGAAGAAATGAACTTCAGCACTTATTATTTCCCGAATCTCGCCAAAGGCAATCGAATCGAATCTAATACTCAATTTTCTGTGAAAGTAACAATTTCCCTCCTGCTCGCAGTACGCAAATGCTTCTTATTTGCTAGCAAACAAAATATCCAGAGAAGTTAATTATAGTATTGAATAGTATGGGGAACAGTCGGATTGGCCTCAGCTTCGGCTGAGCTTCAGCAGCCGCAACCGGTTCGTTTCCAACTTTTCCCCAATTACCTTCTGTCTTTCACAGTAATTAACTATTCGTCGAGATGCCTCCTTCATTGCTGCATTATGCACCATTTTAAGCGAATGTAGAGTCACTTGAAAATCAGGGAACAGTTGATACCTAGTCCCGACACCTGAAAATGCACATTCTATAGTTAGCAAATCGGGTATAGCATATCTAATCCTAATTGAAGCAGAAATATGGTTGGTGGAAAATGGAAGGTCACATTAACAAATAAACAGTTATTATTCCTTTATTTACTGACTAAATGATACAAACATTTTATTTAGTGACACTCTGTCCTATTATGTAAGTCATGCAAAATTGTTTTCTCTGCTCTACCAGACGCAACTTTCCTCGTATAAATCTCACGAGGGCCTGGGCGGAATTAGGAAGTTTCCTATAGTCGAAAATACTGCCTGTGTTACTTGCATCTGATAATATATGTATAACTAGTATCTTTGACAATCTTCCAATAACTTGAAATTTAAGTTAGTTATGGCATTTTCTGTATTGGCTGCTGTAGCCGATTGGTCTCGCGCGTCGAGGTCCGTTAGTGACGTCACATGACGGAACGTCGCACGTCGTAGCCCAACTAGCAGAGTAGTGGTATAAGCTTTTGGTAAAAGAACCGTTAAGCCATAAAAGCTCTCTATTGTTGTTGCCTGGACACCAAAATGCTGGCTTAACGTTGTGTGGAATGCAAATTTGCTTTCTGCAACATATTTGCTCTATAGTGAGGTGTTTTAAAATATTCTTATACCATAGTTATACATAGTTATAAATTTTTAACTGTTGCATAAACGTTTAAATAACTATTTTATACGGCATATTTGCACGTTAGTAAAAATGTTTGTATTGTGGCATCCATGGTAACGTTTATAAAACAAAGCCGAGCCTTGTTGTTTTGCTGTGCAATTTACTACTTTAGCCAACAAATTGCTCCCAACGGAAGCACTTATACAACTGTTGTTTAGTAACTGTTAAGGGCTGTACATATGCTAATTATGTTGGTATACAACTTCACCATAACCTAACTTTCTGCTGTCATATTTTTTTTAAAATGCCATAACCAATGTTTTAAGACAAACAACGTAGGCATATTGGCTCAAAATGTTTTATCAACTGTTCAAACAGAAGATATAGATCTGGTACAAATTCTGGGTGAATCATTCGACTCTGTCGGTATTTCATTTCAGACATTTGTCAAATTGTTGTATAACACCTGCAGGCAACACCAAAATATTCTAATAACCTAAAGACACCATGGACGATGCCATGATTATACACAACCACCCGGCATATTGTGCAAACATTTATTCCTCTATTTAATATTACATAATTATGTTTCAGTTCGAAATTGCAGATATAAAGTGATAAACATTAGTGTAGTTGTGTCCAAATATAGGATTTGTGGAAGATTTAACGCAGTTAAGTTCAGTTTTCCATCTTAAAAATCTAGACATACTTTTAATCATTATCAAAATATGAACCAAATACGAAGCCCGTACAAATTGCGTAACTACTTTGCACGATAATCACAATAAAATTTGCTGCGCAAGTAATTCAATAGCCCTATGTCACAGTGTAGAAGTTTATCATATACCTGTGTATGAAATTCACAATGGCCAATATGTAAGTAAACAAGACTGTAATGTGTTAGTTATGTATTGTTCTTCATCTATACAATACATAAGAAATAGTTTGGTTGCAATAAAGTAGAATCACGTAACAGAATAGTTGTATAGTTGACAAAAACTGAATGTTGCACTGACGCAAATGTCCTATAGCATCTGCATGAGGCTTACACTTTTGTTGTATAACTGTTACCTGCAGCCCTTATACAACCTCTTAAATGACTGAAGTGTCCTATTAAGTGTGCTCATTCCGCTTGTATAGCAGTTCTAAAAAGGTTTTGCTAATGCTCCTACAGTATACAATGCTGTTTTTAAGGAATACTATATAATCATTCTTGCAACTCTAATAGGAGTGATAATTGTTAGATGAGAGTGAAGCGGTCGGAAAACACGACGGCATATCGCATACATCCTTAGCGCTCAAACTGACAAGACGTAATTTATCGTTTGAATCTTGGCGTAGACTGTTGTGTGGTAGTATATAATAATTAAACTGGAAAAAGGTTTTTTACGTGCCGATTCCACAAATCTTTTGAAGATGGACATAATAATGGTAATGAATTTCTTCACAAACAATCCACTTTATGTTAGTACGGAAATACGTAAGTAAATAGTATGATTTATTCTATACAACTCTCATAACGTGAACCCATTTTTTCAACCCTTTGCCTGCCACTATACCATACTGCCGACTTATAAAAGTGTTTGTGCTTTGAGTCATCAACGCGTGGTGTCAGTGGCGGGGTATTGAGGATGATCTTATTTGGCTTTATTAGTTTTATAAATAGAAGAAAATGAAAACATGCCTTGCATGCATCAAATAATTTAGGATGACTCAAACTCCAGTGAATACGTTTGATAAATTAATAATAAATTCATTATCGCGCAGTGACCAGAAAATCAACTGAACTGACATTTGATCCAACGCCAATAGGACTTGATGGCCGTCCGGTGTTTGTTTTTTTTGTTTCAGATTTATTTAGCATTAACGCTACAATATCCATAATATCCGTATTACACAGTATAAAACAAAATACAGGGTGGCCCATCCATGTGTGGACGGAAAAGTACTCATAAACAAATACATTTTGAGAAAATCTATTTACGAGATGTTATACATGACATTTCAGGGCAAATTTCTGAAATATTGGCCATTATACAGAGTGTTCCAATTTCGACCAACATATCAAAGTTGTGATTTTTCAAAAGGAATGCCTCAAGTTTTATTGCATATTTGGATAAACCAATTCCAAAGAAGAAAATTGATATAACATACTATAGCGTTTTGGTAATTAGCTACTGAGATATAAGGTGTTTTGCCTAGAAAAACCCCCCACTTCGGCAACCCCTCAGTCCGCCATTTTGAAATTTGCAGTGCTGAATTTTGTATCAAAAAAACTTACACACCTCAGCTTTTGTTTTATTTGTTACTTTTTCGGGTTTTCATTTTTGCTCATACAGGGTGCTCAAAAACGCAAAGTGTAGTTTTTCTCAAAAATTTCAAAAGCATCACCCTGTATATTTGTGCAAGTTTGGATTCAGTTGTTTATAAGCTTTTTTTGATACTAGACAAATAAGGGTTTTTAGGGCTATTTTTTTGGTTATTGCACGTCTTTTATGGACCGGCTTAATTCCCTAAAATATCGCATTATCCTTGGAAACAAATAAATTGTTGATTAGTTACAAACTATCAAAATTAGCAATGTGAGCATTTTAATTGAGACGTGTTTGAAAACGAATTTTTCTAAAGAAGATATGGTGAATATGGTGTTCGTTTTGGGCGAAGCCCAAAGGAATAGTTTCCTAGCATCTCGCATTTATAAGTAACGGTACCCTAATATGCGACATCCAAGGCCGGAAACATTTTCCACACTACGAGAACGTTTTGAATCAAGTGGAGCAGTGGAATATAGTAAAAAATGTATAAATAATCCACGTGTTACCAATGAGGCGAATCAGTTGGAGGTATTAAAGTTGAAGGAAAATCTCCATTTAAGTGCACCGCAAAATGAAGCAGAAACTGATATTGCAGATTCTGTCCAAAGGATTATTCACAAGCAATAGGTACCATCCATATCACCTATGCTTGCATCAAGGCTTTCGTCCTCAGGATTTCGCAGCTCGAATGGAGTTTAGTAGAATAATGCTGAATAAAGTGAGTGAAGACACCACTCTCCTGGATAAGGTTCTTTTCAGCGATGAGGCACCTTTTAACAGGTGTAACATGCACCATTATTCGACAAACCCTTACTGGGTTAGGCAAATAGATTTCCAAAATAAATGGAGCTTGATCGTTTGGGGAGGACTTATTAGCAGACAGGTTATCGGGTCTTTCTTTTTCGACAACAGATTAACAGGTACAGAATACCTGAATTTTTTGATCGAACATTTGCATTTGCTTTTGGAGGATGACAACCTGCAAACTCGGATGCAGATGTACTTCCAACATCACGGCGCAGCTGCGCATTGTTATAATCGTGTGCGTAACTATTTGGACACCTGGAGTAACAATCGTTGGATCGGTCGTATATCTTGGTCTCCTAGATGATCAGATATGACACCGATGGACTTCTTTCTACGGGGCGACGTTAATCAATAGGTTTATAGATATCTACCCCGGAAAATATGAAGGAACGGCTTAAGCATGATTTTCTAAGGATAAGGGAACACATGCTGAGAGATGTGCAACAGTCATTTATCCAAAGACTACGGCTGTGTATTCAACGTGGTGGAGATATTTTCGAGCAGTTTTTGTAGATTAGGTCTTGAGTAGTGATAGCTGTTTGTTTATGTTGTCATAGTTGTTTTTCTCTATTACGCTTGAAGCTGATTTATACTGTACTGATTGTTATTAGTTTTCACGTCACAATATGGAACTAGCCCACTGTTTGTCATTTGTTTCCATGGATGATGAGATTTTCTTCCTTAATTTTGGTGTGTTGTTCTATTAAAACCTTAATAATCCAAAACCTAGTGATCTTATCTGAATCAAACCTTATACAAAAAAAAGCTTGAATCAAAACTTGCACAAATATACAGGGTGATGCATTTGAAATTTTTGAGAAAAAGTACAATTTTCGTTTTTGACCACCCTGTATGAGCAGAAATGAAAATTCGAAAAAGTAGCAAATAAGATAAAAGCTGAGGTGTGTAAGTTTTTTTTATACAAGATTCAGCACTCCAAGTTTCAAAATGGTGGTTTTAAGGGGTTGCCGGAGTGGACGGATTTTCTGGACAAAACACCTTACATCTCAGTAGCTAATAACCAAAACCCCATAGTATGTTATATCGATCTTCTTATTTTGAATTGGTTTATCCGAATATGCAATAAAGTTTGAGACATTCCATTTAAATAATCACAACTTTGATATGTCATGTATAACATGCCATAAATAGATTTTCCCAAAATGTATTTGTTTATTAGTAATATTCCGTCCACACTTGGATGGGCCACCCTGTATATTATGTCTTCAAGACATATTTTTATACAAAATTTCACTACTCTGAATTCTGGTGTTCCATGAGATATGTTTTCAATTTCCCTTTGAATATTTTCAAACTGACACTTCACGATGTCCATTTGTTAAAAAGGAGTAGAATCAATGATTCGTCATTCATTTTCGGGTATTGTTATTTGGCTGTTTTCATTATAGGTCTGGAAGAGACACCTATAGAGACGAGGCGATTGGTTATGTGCAGTTAAAAAGAGAACGAGATATCTGTTTTGTAAAAGCCAGAATTACGCCCGAACATAGAGTTAAAAGCAAACAGCATCATGGCAGCTTTGAATGCGACGAAAAGGAGGAAAAAGCAGCCAAGCTAGAATGGAGTGGTTGTGCTGCACAAGGGGGTGGCTGTAAGCATTGTGGAGCGCTATTAATGTGGCTACACAGAAGAAGCGAAGAACCATCATGCACTTCCGTGAAGTGCTACTGGACAAATGCCAGATTATCTACTACAGTAATCTAAAATTCATAGAAGCCTCTCAGATGATTACACATTAAGCCCACTTTTGACCGACGCCTATGCAAGCAATAATCAAATCCATTTCTATTCTCATTTAAGCCATTTAGATTCTTTACCTTATCATACGATTCATACAAAGACTAATAATAATTAGCTAAATAGCTGCTTATATCAAAATGGGATTCACAGCAAAACAACGTTGACTTTTCCGACAGCGGCAATTTATCGTCCCTATTAATTACCTCGCACGACTTCTTTCTAGTACTTCCCTGTTTTAGCACACAGAAAAAATGTTTATCTGGAGCTGATATGCTAGTATTTGTACACCTAGGTACAATAAAATGTTTTTTGTAGGTTGAAGCTTTGACCCACTTTTTACTCATTGTTAATAATAGGGGGAAGCGTGTGTGGCGCGGCGCGGCGGGCGCATCTCCTTGCAGTGGTGCTGGGCTGATAAGCTTCCGTCATGAGACGTCATCGCTTACTCGCCCAGCCCACCACACGATTCTCCAAATAATAAACTTCTGACTAGCGTAACTTTGTTATTTTTCATGATATTAGAATTCCAGCGCTGTACTTCATATACTTAGACTTTCATTTTGAGTGTCTTTTGAAAAATAGGAAACTTCCTCATTCAGATCAATTTCTCAGTTTTTCGTAAGTTCGCCGTGTCAATTGTTGTTCATTTTGGGCTTTCCAGCGTCCATGATAAACCTTCCTAGACAGTAAAGCCCAAAAAATGCTCTATTGGGCGAGCCTGCGGCAAGTTTGGAGGATTACCGTTTTTAGGAACAAAAGGTATATTGTGTTGTCAAAGCCAATTTTGGGTACCTCTTGAGTAATGGCTTGATGCTAGGTCTGGCCAAAACATTATATGGTCATTAGTATGATGTTCGTGGACAAAGTGAAGTAATTTGGAAAGGCAGTTATCAATATAGCTCTGACTCGTCAAAACTTCACCCCTCACTCTTCCCACAAAAGGTTGGGATACACCCCTGTTAGAAATTGCGCACCAGACAATGATTTTATCTGCAAATTTCGCTTTATATTTATATCTAACATTGTCAGGACATTCTTCTATCTTCTTTGTATAAAATCCGTCGTTTCCCTTCATTTCAGAATTACTCGAAGTGAAATACTTTTCGTCATCTAAAATAATGATTTTTCCATAGGTGTATCCGCCTCGGTTGATGTCAGCATCTTTGTATATGAAGGTGTTGTGCCTGAGACCATTTCGGGTACTTAAATCTCTTTCGATATTTAAGACCATTCCTCCTCAATTCCAACGATATCGTACTTTTAGAAGATCTGTATTAGCGAGCCAGACTGCTTGTTGACATTGCAACCTGACATTTTGACCTTCTCATCAATTTCTCCGTCCTCTGTGCAGTAAATGCACGTGGTTTTCCACTTTTTTGGAGATTCAGATATGGTATTCCCTGCTCGTACTCCGCTGTTGTTCGATTAGTGGTTCTGCGTGAAATGTATTCATTCTGGAATATTCACAGATTTCAGCTTTGTGTACCCGCCCAAGCAACTTGTAGATATTTTTTCTTATTTCTAATTTATAGGACATCTTAAAGCGAAAACTTCAAAATAAATAAATGTCAACTGACAGTAAAGTAAGTAAACAAACCTTTATTTCCAAAGACAGCTTGATATTGTTTAGTGTTTGTTAAAATTAAAGCCAATGCATTTTGAGCCAAAACTTTTAGGGAAATATAATAAATCAATCGTTTTTCTTAAAATTAACTTGACCAGAATATCTGATTATATTACTCAAAATGCATATTAAATACTAACAATAATGTATCCTTATTATGCTTAACCCGCGACTCTGCCTACGTGGAAGTAGTGTAAAGTGTAGGTCTGGAGCAAGAAATGAAATATTCATGACAATACAATAGTTACTTTGGCAATGTACCTTTTTTTATCCACCGTTTTGATGTAAGAATAAATTAGATTCAATGTTTCGTTTTTTCACACCTTCGACAAAAGGTAAGGAGCTGACTTGACCTGATCTTAAAATGACCTTGAAGGTCGTGGCCAGGTTTATTTTCGGGATATACTTGAACTAGAAAATCGATTTTTCCCGTTAAAAATTAATTTGACTTTCAAATAACCCTGATGGTTATAATCAAGCTCATGGACATACTTGAACATAAAGTTTTCTGCTCTTCTTATTTCTGGTATCAGAAATAGAATAGATTTTTCAATTTTGAAGTACCTCAATGCACGTACCAAGTTTCAAAAAGTATACAGGGTATGGGGCTGTTGCAAAGTTGGGATGCCAGCACGAAATAGGCAAAACCATAAAAACACCGTTTATCTTGAATTATATAGAGGCCCATCAACCATAGGTTGTCTATAATTCCGCATAGTTCGTTTATAGACGTCCTTTGAGGTTTGAGTGCCGTTTGAGAAAAGACGCTTTGTTGGCGACACTGAAACGATAACGCTTCCTTGACGGAGGATTTAACATTAGCATATCACAGTAGACTGTAACAGATACCACCACAAGCTCATGGATATTATAAAAAATGTCTTTGCTTGCCGCGTCCGTGTCTATCTAAGCATTCGGATGATAAATTTGGGACGGTAGCACCTCTTCGAAACCGGCTATGCGTCAAAATAATAGTGTAGGTGAGCCCGACTACTTTATTTGTCCAAATATTCATACTGTTTCAAGTAAAGACGTTTAAAGGCAATTATTAGACTTAAAAAAATTACCTCCGACCCAGATGGCATCCTTTCCTTATTAATCAGATATTTCCGTTTCGTATTATGTGAATCAATCCGAATGATTAGATACTAATCTTTCATTAAAAACATGTCCCTTCCCAAAACTATGGGGATGTGGCAGAATCTGACTAATTCCTCAATCTGAGGACACATCCGGTGTCCCCCCTATGTAATTTTGTGAAAGTATTTGAAATTATTCTATGCCAAACAATAGAGTAGCACGCCTAGGGAGTAATATCCTATGGGCCACATGACCTTATGGCTAAGCGCTCTACACTTTTAATTTTAGGTGTCCTCCAACATTTTACTGTGGATGTCGTCGACAATCAAGGAAAAGCCAACACCATATATACAGATTTTTTAAAAGGCTTCGACTTCTTCAACCACAATGTTTTACTGCTGAAGCTAGATAGATTTAGTTTCGTTCCCAATCAAATTCGATTTTTTCAGTCTTATAATATACGAGTATAAGCATTAGAGAGTACTTTGTAGCATACATTGATTTTAAGCACAGACAATACATTGCTCATTCTGGATCTCCGCAAGGGTCAAATTTGAGCCATCTTTTATTTATCGTATAAGTAAATGCTTTAGGAATACTTGAATATAATAATGATTTGTTGTACTCAGAACAAACTAATTTTGAACGTGTTGAAATGCGAAGCCGTCTCCTTCACGAGTAAAATAAATTACATCGAATTTCCATACCACAACGAGGAAAATTTTCTCAAAGATCTTGGAGCCATTTTTGACAGCAAATTGTCATTGAACGAACACACCTTCGATTTCATTAACAGAACAATGAAGTCGACAGTGTTATTTATATAAAATGTCAAACACTTCATACCTCTATAGCCTCTGAAGAGACCGTATCTTGCTTTCATAAGATATACAAAGTTCATGAACAGACTCTAAAAAATGTGTAACGTGCCAAAATGACGTAACCTTTTTTTATTATTTCGATCATTTGAATTTGAAAATTTCTTTATTAATGGTAGAGTGCTGATTCCTAGGCCAAACCCTTTTCAATGATTTCCTTTTTGCAAATTTCATAATTTATTGATCTATTGAGCTCGATATTTTCTGATCCTGAAGGTGTGATTTATATCTTTCTTTCTTAGTGACTCAGTATTGTGTTGAAGTCTTTTGGATACTAATGTTATATTATTTTATTAATGAATATCTCAGACATTTCCTCATAAAATATCGTTGGTTCCTCGTAGAGTTGGTCTTTCAGGGTCCGCAGACTTGCAATCAGCGCCACTATATGGTTTTTCTCAGTACTAACCTATATAAGAATATTTAGTTTCCATCAAACATATCTTCCATTCTTTCTTTTATAAAGTTAGGTGTTAGGTGTCAGTTACTTTCCTGCTGCATTCTAGGTTATATGGTGCGTGGGTCGTCCGTTTGATTTCCAGATTTTGGGATGTTCGGCCCTAATCGCTAGTAAATGGCGTAGGTCCCTTTCTTGTATCTACCTACGTTTAGTTGTTATTATTTGGGTGCTACCGCCCACATTTCTTATGGGATTTTAACCTCTTCAGGGGTGAGTTCTTTTTTTATACCATCTGACCAAGTGCATTAATGCATGTCCCGAAAAAGGTTGTTTCAATATCTGCTTCCTTTTAGTCGGGAAGCATTAAGGAAAACCACCGTTCGCATTACGCCAGCTTTGTAGCTGTTTCGTGGCCAATATTGCTGGAAACCACGCCTTTCCCTCTAGGAAAAAACCCTGATGTGAACAGGTAAAATATCATTTTATCTAACTCTTTTATAAGATATTTATAAATTGGTTATCGTTGACTGAAATTCTTAGAGTGTACTTGATTTTATTTGGCATTTTATGTATTCAAATATGGGGCAGTGCCTACATCCTATACCTTCTATTGGACTGACTCCATACATTCATCACGATTTTGATTTTTGAGCTGCCATAACTCTTTTTTAGAACAGGGTTATAACTTTCTGGGAGTATAATATACTTTTACTACTACTACTATACTATTTAGTATATTTTTCTTTTTTTTGTCTTTACTTTACCTTTCTTGTAAAAAAGTACATGATTTTTTTAAGTTCGAGTGTTTTCAATGAGTAGTTTTGTGTCAGACAGAGAATAGAGAGTAGATTTTTAAACTTTTTCTCTCTAGGGTTTTTTTAGACCGTAAATTTTGGGTGCAGCACTTACCTTATGCAGTTCCTTGCATCTTGGTCCGCTACTGGCCACAGCTGAGATAATATCGGCTACGCGTGGAGGCTTGTGGAGGCTTGACTGGAGGAAGACCGTCATCAAGCTAAGTCTAGGCCTAGACGCTATATTTGTAAAACCGTATACCATGGTAGACGTTTAGCGAATTTCATTTTAAGGATCTCCGCCGACGCGAGTCCACTGCTTGCATGTGCGCGTGCACAAAAGTAACTGATGTGCGCGAACGTTTCCGAAATGTTTGCGCACAATTTGCTATTGTTTGCGTGAGTGAGTCGACCAGAAGAAACATTTGTGCTGTACACTGTGCATTAGAGTGCCGCACAGTTCAGCACACTGGTGGAATCGCATCTTTAGATTTACATATTCTTCTATAATGTTCTTTTATGTGTATGCATGTTGAGCAAAACCTCACCCCATTTTTAGTACACGCTATTGAGTTTTATTAATCCTATTTGTGCAAGAGGATACAAGCTGGTGGCAGCAGATATTTTACGAAGTGTGATTTAGTAACTGATATTTCTGAATTACGCATCACGACTGTTGTGAAATACCGTGAAAAGGCATGTCGTGATCACGACTTGGGGAACTAGACGCTATACGACATGGCGCTAATGTTTGAATGTGTGTGGGATGCGCATGAGCGCTAGTTAAGGTTAAAATCGCAACCATCATAGGATTAGGGGAAACCCGTCCAAAGTGGATACCCCAGGCAAAGCGAATAGTCCTCAGTGCCAAATTATTTGTTGGCCGGCAGCCGCGTTGTCATATCACCGGTCGCCTGTTGACGCTAAATGCGCGGCAAATACGTCTGCGCCAGTTTCCATCACGCTGCGCCATTTTGTGGACAAAGTGTGTTTTTATACGAAAAATATTAATTTACAGAGGTAAGTGTTTTGTTTATATCTATCATGTCATTTGTGGCAAGTTCTTGATTATGCAAAGGATTTAATGCATGATTATTTAGCTTCCAAGAATATGTAGTTGATGGGTGTAGATGTATGGTTTTTTAATGAATTGAGATAACCTCAAAAATTTACCCTAAGGGCAAAACGGATCGGGCAAAGTGGATACTATCCGCTTCGCACGGTCATCTCAAGTAATATAATTTTATGGAATTGTGTGTTTTATCAAGCATTTACTATTACAGATGGTGAATAAATATAAAAAAAGACTCCGCAAGGTACTTGGAGTACAGATGTCATGCAGATTGCAATAAATGAATGTAGAGCAGGAGAATCTATCAAAAGGACCGCAAAAAAATACGGACTTGCATATGCCACCCTATACAGGCATGCAAAAAGTAGAATTGCTTCTCCACAGCGCGGTCGATTTCGTCCTATATTCACCAAGGATCAGGAAATTGAACTGGTGACTTACCTACAAGATATGGATCAAGTATTTTTCGGCCTTACTCGGGATGTGAGTCTAGCATTTGAGTATGCACACCGGAATAATTTGCAACACCCTGATAGCTGGAATAAAAATCGAAAAGCAGGAGAAGAATGATTTTTATCACGTCCTACCAACTTGACACTAAGAACTTCAGAATCAACATCTGTGCCAAGATTGAAAGGATTTAATCACCGCGAAGTGAACCATTTCTATGGAAACCTTGAATCTGCCATTGAGGAAAATAGCATCGAAGCCTCTAGACTATACAATATGGACGAAACGGGGATATCAACAACCTCAAATAAGCCACCAAAGGTTATCTCCGTAAAGGGGAAAAAACAAGTAGGCATGATTGCAAATGCAGAACGTGGACAATTGCCAACCATCATCGGATGTTGTAATGCAGCTGGTAGCTGTATTGCACCTTTCCTAATTTTTGCAAGAAGGAAGATGCAAGCAAGACTTCTTGATGGAAGCCCGCCAGACTCAAGGAATCAGCACACCTAATGGTTGGACATCAGGCGAAGTATTCTTGAACTGGATGCATTTCTTCGTAGAGCAAGTAAGGCTAACATCAGACAAAAAGGTCCTTTTACTATTAGACAACTATGAAAGCCACAAATACTGCCCTGCACTTGAGTATGCCACTAAGAATAATGTGGTCATATTATCCTTAGCACCGCATCTTACTCACGAAATGCAACCTATGGATGTTGCTGTGTACGGCCCACTGAAAACTCATTTTGAAAGGGAAGTCAATATTTTTCAAAAATCTCACCCCGGTCGCATCATCAACCAGTACGATGTAGCTAGATTGCTAGCACCAGCTTTTATCAAAACTGCTGTGGCCATCATTGCAGTGCATGTATTTGAACGACCTGGAATTTGGCCTATAAACAATCACGCTTTTGGTGATGAGCATTTTGCACCAGCCGAGGTACTTTCAGGTACATCCACTTCAAGTACTCAGAATGAAACTTTGTTCTCACTGGGAATAATTGATTTGCCTGAGTCCGCTGTTCAAGCGTCACCTTTAATTGATTCGCGCGTTCAACCCACATTACCTTCATTGGCAAATGCCACTCAACAATCTGATTCCGTCATCAGCCATATTCAAGATCGTCGTTAGATGAATTTTAAGTTTTAGGGCGTTCTCAGTCTCAACACGACGTTAATATGTATGCTGCAGACCGACCGTGCACTCCTATGGGATCTGACACTAAGAAAGAAACCCACGACAATTATGCTCCCAACGCTTCACCTGGACCTGGATGTTCTAAGACCTACTATAGTTTTTCAGTTTTAAGACCTATGCCTCAGCCTGCTAGACCAACAACATGTAAACGGAAGTTACAAAGATATAATATACTGACAAGTTCTACAGTAAAAGAAGAGCAGAAACAGAAATTTGAAAAAGGAAAAAAGCCTGTTTTAAAGTCATTAGATGATGTTTCGACTAACGCTTCCCAGAAGACTGTTAAAAAAAAGTCTATTAAATCTAAAACATCTGCTGAAAAGCCTAAAAAGACTACCAAAGGAAATAAAAAGCACAAGAAAATAATGAAATTTGTTGATGTCAGCTGCTTTTTTGTGTGGTGAAATGAACATTGAAGAAAATGATCAACCAACAGAAAACTGGATACAATGTGTAATTTGTACTGAGTGGTGCCATGAAGACTGTTCAGCCTACGAAGGTGGTGATGATTTTGTTTGCGATAACTGCAATAGTAGCAGAAAAATTTCATTTTATATATTATGCTCTTTTTATTTTCAACGTTTTTTCTGTTTTTAAGTTTTATTTTATTCCAAATAATGTTGTTCTTTAGTTTCAGCTGGTACCACATAAACATTCTATTATTAATAAAATATTAACTAAAGATGATGTTCTTCTAGTTTTGTTTGTTTATTTTGTTCGTAAGTTTAATTTCATGCTAAATACTGTTGTTATTCGCTTTGCCCAGGTACCATATCCACTTTACCTGGGATCCCGGGCAAAGTGGATAGTAAGCAACTGTTGTAAACTTAGCTTATAACTTATAACATAATAGTATTAAGGGCAAATGCTATAAAATTCCGTAAGTTTCTTTAATGAAGGCTGGTTATAAATATTCGTTTGAATGTCCCAAGTTATAACTAATCGAAAATAACCAAAAACAGCTTAAGGTATTCACTTTGCCCGGGTTTCCCCTACCACATGGCCTGCAAGCGATACCGTGCATTACAGGTTTTGGTTGTTGGAGTCATGCGATTTTATCGCGATTCTTTGCTCAGATTATATAATAAACATTTATAGATTACTATGAGCGTGAAGATTCCGTTAGCTGCCCAAATTACAAATTACTTTCAATAAGTACGGGTAAGATCAATTACGCATCTCGGTCAAGTGTCACTAAAAATAGCGTTTTCTGTACGTCACTACACAAATAGAAACTATTATGGCTTTTCATCTTACTACACCTGCACCGGTTACGGATCCGTTTCCTGCGACCAACCTACGACAGATCACCGCAAGTTCGAAAGTCGTGATCAGGTCATGGTTTCAATTCACTGATATTTATTTTTACACCACCGACAGATATATCAATATTACTGGTGGGAATATAGCAAGATAACAACCAAAGTAATATAATACACACTAACTAAGTCACATTTTTACATATTTGCTTGATGTAAGATGAATGAATGAATGAATGAATGGTGAAATTAGAAGAATTCCAGCCACCATAAGGAGCCAGCGCATAGGACGCTTAAACGGGCACCTCTACAATCCTCAGACTTCAAGCCTCGCCTTTCTAGCGAAGTTGAGTATGGCCTTGAGTCCAAGCTCCTTGACGTCCTGGGGGTCCAAAGTAATGGACCCCAGTATAGTCTGCCCGCAGTAGCTCAGAGCTTCACAGTGACACATGCGCCGAGATTTCTTCTTCTACCCGCAACGCTCACACAAGGGAGCCTCAGCCACCCCCATCATGTGCAGGCGGCGCCTTGACATGTCATGGCCAGACAACAGTCCCACCATCAGCCTTACGTTGGCTCTATCCAAAGATAAGCAGAAACGCCCTTCCTTAACGCTGGACCATACAATGAGTTTCCGTTCCTGACGGAGATATCTGGAGATACACTAATAAATATATCAAAATAGTCCTGAAAATTATTATAAAACGGAAAAATTGATACACAGGTGGGTGCAATAGTGTAGTAAGTTAGGTCGTGGGGTATGACGTTACAGGTACAAGGTCTTTCAAGTAAAAGATCTTAACAGTGATGTGAAAGAAGGGTAAATACCATAGACTGTTTTGTACAGAAATAAAAGGGAGCGTGCTTTCCTTTTGTTATCTAAAAATTCAAAGTCACAAAACCATGCTTTGCAATAGCTCGGCGGTTTCAATAGGCGGATATGTGTCCTCGGTTTTAAAAGACAACAGCTTGAAGAACTTATTCTGCATCTTCTCCAACGAGTTACATGTAACGGTATCAGATACCACAGATATAAATATAACGATATCTGCCATCTTTGCTGCAGGTGAACCTCGAGAGACAATTCTTCCTTTGTTGTATCACTTATCCGACTTTTCAGGCATATCCACACTGCAGCTTAAGGATAAATTGATTAGAAGTATCCTCGGACGCCAATTACATCTCCCCTACCAAATATTGAGCATAACAAGTGTATGAGAGTAATTGGAAAGTAGGAAGTAAAAGTTTAAAAAACCATTTGGCTTTCCAGAATTAGAACATTACAAAACGTCATCTATTACCGGAATCTAGTAGCTATCTGTTGAAACTGTAAAGACCTCAGTTCGTTATTGGTAACCCAGTCACCACTGTGGCAGCTAGAAGCTGACGATTCTGGCAGAAATCTAGATGTCGCCTACTCGACAAAGCAGCATGTTTATTTATTCTTTTTTTGTTTCATTTTACTAGAAGTCCGGCTTGGATCTTTCCTAAGAACTCAATGAGCTATCTCTTTCATTTAAACGAATTTTATGAATGTTCCTTTGTCTAGACGGTCCTGTTCAACGAAACTTCAAAGTTCCAGCGTTATTTCTTTATTTGGCCGTATTTATACCAACTGCTGAACTGGAAATGAAATATTAGGTTTCTTATTATAACCCGGAGCAAACAATTTTTCGCATCTACCTTTCAGGTCTGGCCGGCTTTTTCTTATTTAGAAAGAAAAAAAGCTCCTGTAATTCCGCCTTCAACGTTTTTTTTTCGATCAACTGAGGAATTAGTGTCTACAGGGAGGTAAGAAACTACTCAGGACTTTGCTTAGTTATTTCTTGCGCAGTAGAATTAGATCAGGCTAACTAGCCTGAAACGGGTACTATTCTGATGGGTTCGACAACGTAATTATACCGCGCGTTTCAAATTCGACCCTCACCCGTGAAATCCCTGAAACTGTAAGAGGTACGTATTTAGGTAATCAACGAAATCCCGCTCAGAAAGTCACGAAATTCAAAGTACTTCCGGAGAGAGACAAAAGTAAACGAAATTTCTCCAAATCGTTTTAATTTTTTCTCGACTCTATTAATTTGTAGTCGACTTTTAAAATAAATTGCACAGTAAAGTTGTCTCTTTTTCTCATGTACAAGATGTCATAATTAAAATCTCAATATGACGTTTCGATCCTGGTCCTCCAGCATCAACTTTATTTTTTCAAATTTCAAAAATGTACAATATGTCATACATTGCCTTTGGCAAACCTTAGTTATTTAATTTCAAAAATCGAATTTCCTTGGTAGGCCTTGAAACTATCAGATAGTCATTTGTTTCGCATACCAGATTTATCCCAAAGTCATTTTTATTTTTTCCTGTCCTTATTTACTATAACATTTCAAAATAAATTGCATGTTCCAATTGCCGCTGTTTCTCCTTCACAAAAGATGCCGTAGTCAACTTTTAAATCAGAGGTTTCTTCTTTCGACTTCAATTGCCAACTTTGTTTTTCATATGGACGTTAAAATGGAGTTTTGTACATTTAAACGCACTTTTCTGACCTAAACTCACTGATGTACTTCACTAGTGGGCCATGAATTTGTTGTTGGAATGAAATTATAAGGAAATAGGAAGGTATGGTGATACCTGAAAACAAAATGAAAATTTTAGTGATGGTAGTACCAGAGGTAAATCATAGCAGATGTTCATAATGCTGGCCGTTATTTTGTATGCAAAGTCTGAACATTGTTCACTGCTCACTTTATTTTCCTTCTTCGCAGTCTTCCAAATGCTATTACTATGTTCAATTTGAGGTCTGGTCTGGTATACGAAACAAATGACTATCTGATAAATTCGAGGCCTACCATGGAAATGTTCTGAAATAACAAAGAAATAACTACGGTTTGCAATGACGATATATGACATATTATATATTTTTGAAATCAGAATTAAGAACTTATGGTGTCCACAAAAAAAGTAAAGTTGAAACGTCATATTGAAATTCTAGTTATGCAATCTTATAGTGGAGAAAAGGTGGCAATGTTAATGTCCCATTTATTTTGAAATGTAACTACAAATAAACTCAGGAAAAAGATAAAACTAATCTGGAAAAAATACTAGATAGCTTTTTATTAAATGTCAGAGTTGGGAAAATTGATTCTCGCATATGTTCAAAAAACTATTAAGTATTGGCCTAGGTGGCCTACAGAGAGTTGCAGCTAAAAAACAGTCACTTGGAATGAGATCCCTTAGGATAGGTGGACCCACAGAGGCCACCGAAACAAATAAACGGTTATTATTTCTTTATTTACTGGTTAATGAAACAAACTACTTATTAATACCGATTAACACTTTGTCTTATTAAGTATGTTATAAAGCATTTTTTATTGCAGAGCTGACCTTTATTAGAATGTATTGATCGACCAGCCAAAGATTGCTAGGGACGAAAGGGGGAAATGCGATGAAAAAACCTTACCATTAGACGATTTTATATGGAGTCATAGGCGGAGATCGGAGAGACTTGAATTATTAATTGAATTTATATTTTATTACAACTGGTAGTATTAATATTTTTTTGCGATTCATAATGACGTGATACCAAACATACATTATAAGAAATAAATATACACAAACACTGAATATTGAGAACAAAATAAATATATTTTTTAGGCAACAAGTAATATTCCTATGTACGCATTATGATTGAACAGCAAAACAAATTATGCATTCTTCTAAAATAGAATACAACAAGTCAAAAATATCTGACTGAATAGAAAAATATAGGAAAACAAAAAGTAATTTCTTGATGAAATAACCCATAAACAACACATAGAATTAGACTTTCTACTGAGATACTAAAAGCCACAAACCAATAGTATAATAAATGAATATCTAAAAATTCTAAAAGGTAGCCAATCTAGTATAGTTTCAATCCTGATTAGAGTCATGATCACTGTCTGAGGAACTGTCATTGCTATCACTTTCACCTCCTATGTTGATTATTATTTCTTCCTGTATTTCTTGAATGAGACTGTCTTTTTCCCAATATTCATCTTCAATTTTTATAACATGTCCAATAACCTTTTGCCAGTCACTGGCACTTACTGAAGCGATGGCCTTATTAGAAATTTCATCTAGTTTTTTTATAGTAAATTCGCCG